CAGGAAGTAGTTGTAACATTGTGTACCAACAGTAGTAGATGGAAGAGTCCTCAGATGTCAGGCTGCTGAGCTCCATGTAGACTGTGCTGTAGGATATGGTTGCAGTCAGTTTGGCCTTCTCCTGGAACTTCTGATTGTAGCCAGTGTCACCATTTTCAGGATCGATAACTCCAATCCATTCCAGGCCCTGTCCAGTCTTCTGTTTCACCCAGTTTATAGCATACTCAGTGAAGGTGTAGTCTAAAGCCTTGCAGGACAAATTTTCTGAGGCCCCAGGTTTCACTAGCTGAGGACCAGACTGTTGCATCTAGACGTGGGAGTGGACACCAATGGAGAAAATGGAAGAGTGTATATTTTTGTCTCCTCAGTCCCTGTTCCTTTTTCAGAATTGTAAGTGAAAAGCCATTTACTGGTAGTTACTGACACGAGGAAGAAAATAATCCAGCTCCATCCCATGGTGAGAACCTCTGTGCTCAGTGACTGTGGAGAGGACACTGATCATATGTTTTTGGTATTGACATCCCTGATTTATCAGCATAGAGTCAAGGAATTTTCATATTCATGAGCAGGGTACTTGTTGGATAAAGACCTAGTCCTGATGGAGAAAAAGATAGAGGACACATGGACCAGGCAGCAGGATGCAAAGGTCCCAGTAATAATCCTCTCTGAGGATTTGCATAGCACTCTTCTTCTCTGAGATCTCTGATGATGCTGAGCACATAACAAATCTCAGCAGATTTCAGGCCTGAGAGAGTGGATCCACTATATGACAAGATTATCAGATTTATGTACACATGGTTGCTGTAATGATGACTATAGAGATGGGAAATTTTAAAGGTGTTGTGTTTGAAATTCACAGCCTTTCCAAGATACTGTATAATAAGAAATTCTTTAAAATGTCAAAATGTAGATATATTTCAGAATTATTTGCTTAACAAAGATCATTGCAGCAAAATCACAATAAGTATATTTTAGGAAGAAACTTCATATTTGTCAACAGAGTATCTCATCAAGAAACATGTTTATATAAACAACACAACAGAAATTTTCATCTACAAGAAAAATATAACCTATATCAGTTATAGAAAAATTGATACAACTAGAGATAAAGGTATTATTTAAGAACATTTCAGAAATCAGGCATTAAATGAGACTCTCATTAGTATATTTTAGATATTGCATGCTTACATTCAACTATTAATATAAATGGATGAAGAAGCATAACTGAAAGTGAAATTGTCTAGTAGAATGGAGGTAAAGTAGGAGGGGAAGAAAAGGAAGGGGAGAGATTGTGGGGAAAAATAATTCAGAGTATGAAATACATGAGTATGAAAATTCTAAAACTATGTAAAATTGTTATTTTTACATCTCATGTGTTATATCCTTTGATATTTCATTCAGTTATAAAATACATGGTGCATATATGCACTATGCGCCCCTGGTTGCTCTTTGGACATTCCTGTAAGTCTCTGTCCTTCTTCATGACTCCTTTTGTTTCATTAACTAAAAACACATTGATCCAATCATTGCTATCTATTTACCCAGAAATACCCAGAAAACTTACAAAGGAAATTAATTATATTTTCCACATCAGTTATCAATGTCAATAGATTTGTTTGCTTGATGTGGTTCCTCAGGATTTTCTCTCCATCCATTTAACAGCTTAAAAATTTGTGATGCTATCTCTATTGGTATTAACAGAGGAGACATGCACCAACGTCTATTTATAATCCTCAGAGGACAACTTTTGGAATTCAGTTCTTGTATCCTGTCCTGTATGTCCAAGCAATCAAACCTATGTTGCTTACTTGCCAGTAGACACTTTTACCTGCTCAGCTACTTCAATGGCTCTCACAAAACTAAATGAACTCAATGGAATTTTAAAACGATTGCTCTCATATTACCTTGTGCATTTTTATTTCACTTTTTTGCTTGTATATGAGGAATAGAGACTTGTGTTTTTTGGAATTAGTGCATGGTGATGTGTAATGGTATTTACTGTTTTATTTTTGTTTGGTGTCAATTCACTCCTTAAAATATTTTGTCTGTTTGGCTTTTTATCCTGAAAAGAGAATGACGGGGTTTAAAGCTGGGTAGAAGAGGATAAATGAAAGTTCGAAGAGGAGAAGGTGGAGAAGATTTAATGATGAGAATACATTGTCTAAAATTTTTCAAAAAATTGCAAACTGAAAATGTAAATGGAATAAAGTAAAGAATGAAATATAAACAAATGAAAAGTTTAACAAAGTATCTTTACTGTGTTTGAGCATGAAAACATCACATGTCAACAATAGCAGGTGCAGGTCAACTGGTAGACTCAAGAAAGGAAACCACAGAGGATACAGAGTCCCCTCCACATCAACCTCATCTCCCTACTTGGATTCTTGGATTCATTTTGCCCCCTTCTGGTTCTGATCTGTCCTGCAGGTTGGTTTGTAATTGCTTACAATGAAGCTGCAGGGTCTCCCTTGAGCAGTAACACATCCCTGAAACTTCAGAGCTCACAGAGCTCAGCTGCAGGAATAAATTGCTTTGTTGACTGGGAGATGCTTACATGATGTTGCAGAGATGAATTTCATGTTGTGCCAATATTACTGTCAATATCCTCCTCAAAGCCAGGCTCCTCCAGGATTCAGTAGGACCCAGCTTAGGCAGTTGCCAATATAATAAAATGACAACAGCATAGAGCAGAGTCTTTGATTACTTCATCAGGCTGTACCTGGAGCAGAGCACCTGAGCTTAGAGACACACAGTACATCCTTAGCTCAGCTGTAGCCCCTGTATTAATGCATGAATTTCTGATGCATTCTGATAGAGGAGTCAAGACAATGAGAAGGCAGCACCTTGGTACACACAGATCAGTTAATAATCCTACAAATGTATTACAATAAGAAGAAAGTAGAAATCAAGCAAATTTACACTGTAATTCAATCTACTACATGTCTTCAGGTTTGGGGAGGAGAGGATATTGGTTTAACAGTATTCTTCATGGATGGAATTCCATGTATTGAGACAGCTCTCTCCCACACTCTCACTCTTACCCCCTGTGTCTATCTGTCTCTCTCTCTCTCTGTCTGTCTATCTCTTCTTCTGTTTCCTCTTTCTCTTCCCTATTCCATGTCCACTGTCCTCTTATTCATGGACAGGACATGTATTAATAAATTTCTCCAGGAATTGAATGTTTGCGTTCATAAATACTGGATTTGGAAGGTGCTCTCAGTAATGAGAAAAGCAATATAACTGTGTATAATATGGTTTCCAATTCAGTGTAAATGTCTAAAATTGTCGCACCTGCTGTGCGGCCTGCATCCGAGAATGTAGCGAGGTGGTCGGGATAGATGACACAGAGCCTGGTCGGTTGCTTTAAGAAAAACTTTATGCTTCCCAAGTCAGCTTAGGAGGAGACTCCAAGTCTGCTTAGGAGAGAGAAGAAGTCTCTCCAAGAAAAAACGCTTCCCCTTTTTAAGGACTTCTGCCATCCATCTACATACAATTCTTTCCAGACTTCTCACCCTCCTGGCTGGTGGTTTAATCTCCGGCCCCAGAATCGGGGAGACACAGCAGGGGAACAGGAAGAGGCATCTAGTCGTAGGGGGTGTCAAAGTCATGGTTTTTCAGTGAGTGAGCCCTTATCTGAGCCCTATCAAAAGCTTTATAGCACTGAATTGTTTTCAGTAAACATTACACAGCTGCCCGCTCCCAGGCCGAAGGGGAAGTGGGTTTCTGCTCAAGGTCTGGTGTCCCCACATAAAATGTAGCTACACATATTAAAACAAAAATATATCCTACAGAGAATCAGCTGACACCTGTTTGTTTTTCTCTGACTTCAATTTCATCAAATAGATTAACCTAATGTAGGAGAGAAGCAGGTGGAGCCAGTCGGTTCATGGCTTCTCTTCTATCTACAACAATGTCTCAGAATGTAATAATGTTGGCAATGAAATCTGCACAGGATGTTGGAATCACCTTTGTGCACAATTTTCTTCTCAGCTTCTTCTACCATTTACTTCCTAGGGAATGGTGACTGGTGGATCTACAGCACAGCCTGATAATTTGGAAAATCTAGTATTATAAGTTTGTCTATGAACTCTCCGCACAGTGCCCAAACTGTGGCTCTTCCTTCTTTCACAATTGTCTACTGTTCTTTTGAGTAGAAATTCCAAGGATGAATGTTGAGCTGTTCTTCAATGCTTTTCCAGGTCCATGAAAACCAGTCTTTTGTTTGGTGTTGCTGGATATAGCTGTAGCAGTGACCACTGATGATGTACTAAATGAATAGACAGCACAACTGATGGTCAGTGTTTACAAGCATTCTACCAGTTAAAGAAAATCCAATCACCCTGCAGAACAAAGGTGACCAGCATGTATCCAAAGGCCTTTGACTATAGACGATGTATGAGTACAGGTCCATGTTCTATAAAGGCTTGAGAATGTGGGGCAGGTTACTGACACTGTGAAGCAAGTAAATATGGGGCCAGGGAATGAAGTACCATCTCAGAATCTACATACATTGATTTGATAAATTATTTAGTGAAAAGTAATATAATAAGATTCTTGAAAAACTTACAAGAATTATACTTAAAATGGAAGTGCATTTTGATACATATCTCACAATCTGAGAGATTAGAAATTCTACTGGACCACATATTCATAGTTAATTATACCTATCATGTCATGAAAAGTTTCAGACTATTGAAATATTTCTCCTAGATGTTATTATTTGTCTTTACTGAGCAGATTCATATTTTAGTTTATTTAAAGATATACCAACAAAGGTCCCAGTCTCAGAGAATCCAGAAATATATTTATAAAAATGCAATTTTCATTTTATTCTTTTATTAATGAAGAAACCTGTCAATAGAGGTGGTCACTGATTAAAAGATTGTCACTGTATGGAGCAAAATAGGACATTCTAAATCATTATCTCGTTATGGAGAGTTGTAATTTTGAGAAGTTGGTAGGACTGTGTGCAGTGACATACAAAGGGACACTCAGATTGTTTATTTCCGAGAAAGTCTTCTTGTTGATCTTCTCTGACATGCTTCCTGCCACTCCAGGGTTTCTGACACACTCAGGATATAGTTGCAGCACTGTGTGTATCTTGTACAGTAATAGACTGCAGTGTCCTCAAATGTCAGACTGCTGAGCTCCATGTAGGCTGTGCTGGAGGACTTTTCTGCATTCAACGTGGCCTTGCCCTTGAACTTCTCTGCATAGCCAGTATTACCATTATTAGGATTAAAATATCCAATCCACTCCAGGCCCTGTCCAGGCTTCTGCTTCACCCAGTTAATGTTGTATTCAGTGAATATGTATCCTGAAGTCTTGCACGACAACTTCGTTGAGGACCCTGGTTTAACAAGCTGAGGATTAGACTGCTGCAGCTGGACCTGGGAGTGGACACCTGTGGAGAGAAAGGCAGAGTGAGTATCATTGTCAGCTCAGTCCCTATTTCCTCCTTATGTTTTGAACTTGGATAACGTTACCTGAAATTACTGACATGAGGAAGAGGATGATCCAGCTCAATCCCATGGTGAGGACCTGTGTGCTGAATGACTGTGGAGAGGACACTGATCATATGTTGTTGCTGGGTTTGGACATCTTTGTATTTACTTACATAGAATCACATGATTTGAATATTTATGAGCTTAGAATTTGTTTAAATATGTACCCAGTACAGTTTGAGGAGCAGGTAAAGGACAATTAGCTCAGGCAAAGGATTCTGAGACCAAAATCCTAATCCTGTCAGAGGAAAGATATCCTTACCCTTTTCCCTCAGGTTCATACAGATGTTGTTTGAACATTAGTATCTAAGCTTCATTAGATTTCAGGCCTGAGGACGTTGCTCTGGTTTATGACAACACTGTTATATTTATTTATATAAATTGCTTGCGAGTATGATGGTAATGACTGGGAATTTCAAAATCTGATACATTTTGAGAAATTATACCCTCTTTTAAAAATATAAGGAATTAATATTTGCCATTCAAGAAGTTTACATAAAAAAATCTCACTGAATTAACCTAAAAGGAACATACTTCAGAAATACTTGCACATTGATGTTTATTGCAACACTATCTACAATAATTCATGGAAATGAACTCCATGTCTGTAAGCAGAGAACTGCATGAGGAAGACATGGTGATATGTGTGACAGTATGGGAATATTTCATGTGAAATAATAAGTATCTTATATAACCTTTGGGAAAGTGCATTAATTAATACCACCTCTGAGATAGCTGTATTAATTAATACCATCTCTGAAACACAGACTTTATATGAGACTCTAAACTTTTTTAAGTATAGAATAGGCACACAGAAGTTTATGTATGAAAATTTCTAACAACTTGTAAGTGAAACTGTCCAGCAGAATACAGCATAAATCAGGAGTGTCAAGAATAGTAGAAAACATAAACTGTAAGCGAAGTGAAGTTGTTCACTCAATATTCTCAGATATTCCAGAAGTTGGCACAGTGGGCAGAAGATGTTGGAAAGAGGTAGCCACAGGCCCCTGCTATCATAGATATTAACACATTTTCTTATACATTTTGATGTTTTTTAAACAGCAAAGAGATGTTTGTGGTTTGCCTGACTTTGAACAACTTGCCCATTGACTTACATTTACACATTGACCAACTTGTGGATTAGTGTGATTATGACTGAGTATATGGAAAGAAGTTTAAGTGAACTCCTGATTTCATTAAAGACAGATTCAAATAAAATTCATATTTGTGGGGAGACACCTCCAAATTTTAGAAACTTTGGCAGATAAACATGTCAATATTTTTCAAATCACCATGATCCATGATCAATATACTCAGGTGGAAACCCTGGAAAGAGAAATAAATTCCAGAATGGTGAGGGTTACTGAAGCACTGAACCCTTAGACTGGGACAGGGTGTAAGGGCTGCACTAGCACTTTGGTACATTTTCAGACGTTGATCAACATTAAACTGATTTTGGTCTATGATTAAATCATGTATCTCTAATTTATAGAATATCTGACATTGTCTCCATGGGATTTGAAGATCATCACACATATCCTCATCAAAAGGAATAATACTTGTAATGGATGAAACGGTGGTAAAGTCATCAAGCAGAGGGTCAGATATTCAAACACCGCGGGGTCCGAATGTATAGAAGGCAGGCAACAGATTTTTCTGAAGACAGAGCTTAATTTCTAACCAGGAAAACAAATGTTGTTTTTCAGATGACTTGTTCATGGAGAACATACAAGTGTGGTGCTCTGTTTGAATTCTGCGATATTTGCTGGAGTGGGTATAGATGATTTTTGCTAATATTTTCGGTGTACTGGAAATATTTCTGGTTCCAAGACAAAAAATCCTTTGAGGATAAGAGTAGATTATGCAGTACAAAAATTAAAACATGGCAAATTAATCCAATAAAATCTTATATGAATATAAATTAACTCTCCATGTCAATAAGAACTTAAAAGTGGAAAATATTATTGTAGATTTCTATCAGAGTAACTCATGAAATCAGACAATTTTTCTGAACTACTTCATAACATTCAAAATTCCAGAATTCAGATATAGTCCAATTTAGAGCATATTTAATATATATTCAATCAGCACTGTGGGCATGTCTCAGTTTTCCTGTTCATTACCATGACATGTGAGGTGAAAAGCACTTTAGAGAGAACATGTTTTAGATAAATTATAACTAATTCTTCCTTCAGAAACTGCTGAGCACTTGGATTGAAAATGATAGTATTGTTATGTGATTCATGTGAGAAGAGCATGTTATCTCTTGATAATATGACTCATGGGATTTAAGATATGCATGCAGCAGAACAGCAAACAAACTGATGTAGGCCACATGTATTCATGCATGAGTTTCAGAGACAATCAAATATAGGAGTCAACAGAAAGAATACAAGTAACTGTGGTACTCACAGACAAGTTAACAATTCAAGAATAACATATTAACATTGATAATTACTTAAAAGTCAAGTCAATTTGACCTGTGACTCAATATATTTCCCATACTGCACTTGATGTATTTAAGTGACTTAAAGCAGATAGAAGTTAACTTTGTAAAGGTGAGCATTGGTAGAGCATAGAGCTCCTTAGACACCTGTATCTCTCTCTGTTTACAATTCCAAGTTCAGGATCCTCTTATTCCTGGAGAGATAATTTGTTAGTAAAGGATGGCAGGGCTTAATATTTTCACAATGAAAGATTCATTTGGAAGGTGCTTCCAGGAATGAGAGAAACCAAGATCACTCACATGATTTTGTATGTGTGTCTGTTTAAATATCTGATGCATAACTACTCATATTAAATCAAATATTTGCGCTACTGAAAGTCAGGGTATTCCTTAAGCTTTGTTATACCTTAAGGACCATGACTCAGTTATGCTTAACATTACCAGAGAGAAGCAGCTTGAACCAGTCAATTGCATGGCTTCTCTTCTTTCATTTGTAACAAAAGGTATGATGTCCTGGGGACTTTTAGTTCATAGGGCAGCACACACTTAGAAAACTCCTTAAAGAAGAAATAGCCCCATAATTCAGTGAGCTCAATGGGCTTATGCTGGAATTACATCTTTTTATACTCTGTTCTGGGTAGCGTCTATAATAAGGATAAATTTCATACTACATTATGGTGTACTGCTGATGCCTCTCATGAGTAAAAATGTACAGGCATCATTGCCTGCTTCATCTGTGTGGGTTCCCAGAGACATCCTCATTCATAATGGAATTCTTTCACAAAATTCTGGACTCTGAGAGACAGTGGAGAGATGGTGTGTGTGTCTTCTCCTAAGGTAGACTAATGTGTCATAATATGTGGTGAGTTGGTGCAATGCATGCGAAACTGTGTAGGGTTGTCATTGAAAAACATGTATACATTGATTTCTGGCACACCCATTCACTACCCTTTTGATATTTCTCCCTTCTCTGCCTGAACACTCTTTTATTTATCATACATGCCCAGCAGTTTCTTCCATTCCTGTGATATGTGGGATGCTGCTGAACCACTGAATGTACTGAGTGCCACATTCATGTGATTCCATGACACATGGAAATGCCTTAGTGCCCTTAGTGGTCAGATATCTCAAATGAAAAAAGAACACTTTGCATGTGTTACTGGAGTTGCCTGGGATGTCTGCTCTGCAAGTTGTGTTTGGAGGTAATTACAAATGATATCTACTTTCCTTTCCTCAATAACATGATGGGTCATTATTGTGAGGAGATCATATCTCCTGATGTAACAAATCGACAGTACAAACCAAGGAAAAGGTCTGTGATAGTTTATTAGACTTAGACCCAATCTTTACTTTCTTATGGATGGATTACCTTATGAAAAATCAATCACTGAAAATCATCAAAAATGTATAATCCTATGAGAACACTGATAAGAAAAAGTTTCCACATTTATGGGCATCTATAAAAATTAAATGAATTGCTTATGAAGCTCTATAATTCCCAAAAAATCATAGAATCAAATATAGGGTACAGTTACTACCTGTATGCTGCCTAGAGACTTCACTTAAAGAAGACATTATATACTTTGCCTAGGGGAGGCATAATAGTTGGAAATACAGGATTTGGAAAATTCTAAGATTCAGCAATTAAAGAAGTAACCAGTGCCGAGCGATGGTGGTGCACGCCTTTAATCCCAGCACTCGGGAGGCAGAGGCAGGCGGATCTCTGTGAGTTCGAGGCCGGGCTGGACCGATAGCCTCCAAAACAATACAGAGAATCCCTGTCTCGTAAAAACCAAAAAAAAGAAGTAACCAGATATTTCTTCATTGAAAGTGAACTCTGTTCTGAAATCCCAGACTCTCAATGTTCTCAGAAGGGCCAGTGTCATAAAAGAAGGACAGTAATGTGGCATACATAAACTCTGGTGTCATAAGAAGTCGCCATTGATGATGCCATGTCTAACCAACTGATACTCAAAGTTTCTTCATATTCATTTATAATCATCACTAGGTTGGAAGCCTGAGGCCCCTTGCATGAAAGATAAGATAATAAGGCTCTTACTTTAGAATTCTCAAACAGTTAACTGAATAGTCATTCTGTTAAATTCTTGCAGTCATATTAACTACTGCTGTTACTGTAGACACAGAATATATTCATTTCTGCATGAGGAACTTCAAATTTTTTCAATATGTTGATCAATCCCCATTTTGCAGTTGAAAGAAGACAGGGAAATGCTTAGTAAACTCACTGTTATTTAGTGTACTACTTTTAATTCAACATCATTTGCATAGATTTTGATTAGAATTGTGGAAGAGGATTCACACTTGCAAAAATATATACCTTGGATGATACTGTCCATAAATTGATAGATTTGAGATTTCTTATGGAGAATAACTCTGTGTTGGAGGAACAGGCAGAACAAGTAACTGTTCTTAGGTACATTTCTCAATTGCAAACCCCAGATATCCCAGGTGCCACTTGTCTTCTTGTTTCTCATTGCTTGGATATTTATTCAAACTGAATAGCCTTCCAAGATGCACTGATACCTGCGGCAACCATGTATTCCAAACACTATAGGAGATGGGTTTTTGTCACGGAGGGTCAGTGATCTGTAATGGGTTGTGATCACAGGGCAGGATATAGATACAAGGGAAGACAGATTGTGGAGTTGGTGATCAACGGTTAATCTGTGACCCTACCCCTCTGATCACATGGATACAAACTGGGATGATGAACCCATTTGTTAATAATAATTCAATATGAATTATAGATATCTCCTGAGAATCAGATTGATATATTAGGGGATCAAACACTTCTGCTCCAAGATATTGATGTAATCATAGATATATGTGCTTACATTGGCAACAGCATGGGGATATATGGATCAACTTTACCAGTTTAAAACTTCCTGCTCTCTGCTTCTTGCATTCAGGATGAGTAGGGACATTCTTTGTGCAAAGATAATTAATTCTTACTCCTGTTTTTACATTCATCAACATCTAACCACAATTTTGAGAAAGTCTTCATGTTGTTCTTCTCTGTTATCTTAGCCCCAAGGGAGCTTCCTCTTTCTTTAGAGTTTTTGACACACACTAGATGTGTGTTGTGACACTGTGTCTTGCACAGTAATAGGTGGCAGAGTCCTCAGATGTCAGGCTTCTGAGCTCCATGTAGGCTGTGTTCAACATTGTGTCTGCAGTCAGTGTGACTCTGTCCTCAAAGGTCTGTCCATAGTTTGTTCTACCAATGCTTGGGAGTATGTTTCCAATCCACTCAAGCCCATGTCCAGGCTTCTGCCTCACCCAACTCATATAGGAAATGGGGAAGATATTTGAGTCAAAATCCTTGCAGGTCACTTTTAGTGAAGCTCCAGGAGTCTTCAGTTCAAATGCAGACTGCTGCAGATGAGCCTGAGAATGGACTCCTGTGAAGGAGAAACAGCATGGATGCAAATCTAGCTTCAGTCTCTTTCTCCCCCTCAGGCCTAAGACTGAAGATCCACTTACCTGTATGTGCTGCCACCAGGTAGAGTATGATCCAGCTCCAGTCCATGCTGAAAACCTGTGTTCTTAGGGACTTGGGGCAAAAGGATAATAATGTGTTGCTGTAGAGCATGAGGACATATTTTATTTACAACAGGATACTGTAATTTGCATATTCATGAGGGAGGGTAGTAAGTAGATGAAACCTTGTCCTCTGTGAGATATATCAGGAAGAGGATATCTTTGCTATGCAGTATAGTTAGGAGGTTTGAGATTCAAATCTTTTTGAGGAAATGCAATTCATGCTCCATCCTGTCACTTGTGTACACAGAGTCCTTCCATCCCACTGAGAATCAGTTCAAAGCATATAGGTTCATTAAAGCAGAACTACCATTTAATGATTCAAGGGACACCTAAGTCATATATGTGATGATGAGAAGGTCCACTGAGATCATCCTATTCCAATAAGACAAAAGCACAGAACACTGAAGACTGCTGTCTTTGATATCATAATCAGTGAATCACAGGACTATGAACACATCTGATACCAACTTGCTTACCTTTGATCACTTTTTACCAAAATGTTTCTCAGGGTCCTGTGACCCACATATCCTTATTGTAGGAGAAAGGATCCAGGCAAAGAAACACACTGTAATGTATTTTCTTCCAACCAACTGCTGGGGTACTGTTGCTGCTTTCATTCCCAAATAACACACAGGACAATATATCAATTAGGAAGCTGTAGGACATTTGGTATTGTTTCTCATTGCTAGCTGTAACTTAGTTAATAATCCATAATCACTAACATACATTTTTATAAGGACTTATCATTCTGATAGCACCAGACTTGTGTCCATTCCTCCAGGAATCACATGGTGCTGACTCACCCTTCACCACATTGCCCAGAATCCTCACAGACTCCTACTCTACAACTTACAACAGTTGCAGAAACTGTCTCAAAAGAGACCAAACACACAATGCTGAGTGTGGGCTGAGGTGCTGAACCCTTAGGGAAGGATGGACAATGACAGCTGCACTAAATTTGGCTTCCTTTTCCAGGGGCTGTCATCATTACAGGGACTTTGGATATATGATTAAATTTTCTTTCTTGAAAATGGAGAATATCTGATATTGTCTCCAATAGATACGAAGGTCTCAAACACATCGTCATCAAAGTCGGGCAGTAGGAAAAGTCCACAAGAAGAAAAAGATCCTGAAATGGATTGCACAAAAATGAAATTTCAATGTTTAAACACAGAGATAAGAGGGGCAGAGAAGCAAGGACTGCTGCTTCTTGAAAATGGGAAAGGGAGCCAGCAGACTCTTCTGAAGAGAAAGCTCCATTTACAACCAGTAACAGTGATTGCACTTCAGATACTTTTTACATGGAGGGAATAAAAGTATTATAGTCTGTCATAAGTCTGTGATATCAGCTGCAGTAGACATGAACATTTTCTCTCAATCCATCTAATGTATGCACAGAAATCCTAGGTCTGAACTTAAAAACGTGCAGACATTTGTGCACTATAGAGTCCAAAAATTAAATACATTAATTTAATCCAACAAGAATTTATATAAATATAGATGGTAAGCACTGTGCCAATGAGAGATCAAAATATGAAGATAATACTCTAAAATTGGAGCAGATTGACCCATCCATCAGAACATTTCACTGAACTGCTTTACAACTTTGAAAATACCATGCCTGGGACATGTCACCATTAATCTTGGGAATCTCCACAGTAAGCTGAAATTCTATAAAGCCAACACTGGAGGGGGTTCTTAACCCATAATGAAATGTTCTGGGAGTAAATCTAAACACAAGGACAGTTACAGTACTTACACTCAGGAAATCACACCAGACTGAAGGACTCTGATCTTTTAAACACAAGAAAAGACTGTGATGAAGCTAATCCCTGCGGACTTTCAGAGAGCTGTGAAGAAATTGAGGGAGCCCATGCACCAGGATGTCATATTGTCAGACCACATGTGTGAGGGAGTGTGAGGGGTGTAGGAATGAGGATGTCTCATCTTCTGTACCTTAGGGACACTGACTGCGAACTGGCAGAGTCTGTATTTAATGGACTTTCTTCTAGACTCTTTTCTCAAGTGTCAAAAATCGTATATTAGGCTAGGTATAACCAATATGACTAAATATCTTTCCTAATGAAAAAAGCATGCAGACAAAAATGAGAGATAAAATCCTAACTGCAGTGAAGGAAAGATTTTTTCATTCACCTCAGCTTCTCCCTCTCGCCTTCCCCTGAGCTGAGTGTTGCACAGGGCAGTGTATCACATCTTGGGGCCAGGTCTCCCACAGCAGAACTACATGGACTCAACACTGTGGCTGGAAAATCAATGCCTGAGATCCCAAGTCACAGTCATATATTATGGCAGAGCAAACCCCTCCTGCCAGTGGAAAGATGTTATAGATAGAATTACAGATGCTGATGCTGATGGCTGTGATGACGATGACTGGATGTCTGACTCCTTATGTTTGAATATGTGTGACTTACTTTATTGGATGTCCAATGGATGCTTGTCCTTCCAATAAGGTTCCCATGTAATCGTTAATTACACGTGCAATATTGCTTAACAATGAATTTTTACTCAACTAAATTTGAAGTCTTGTCACATTTACCTCATAACGTGTATTACATGGTCTCTGCAGCTGTTTGTAGTCAGGACAGGAAATCTTAGGGTCTCAAAGGACTCCCTCCGTCTTCAGATGTTTCTTACACTTAGTACATTTTCTGTCTTGGTGAAAGTAGGGTTCAAAGCTCCCCCTGCTGGTCCTGATCATTCTCAGATTCAGGATGCTTCTGAACACAGAACCTACTCAGTGTGTCTGCTGCACTGTAATGCAGAGCTGATTTAAGTGGTAGCAGAGCCTTGGTGGCACCTGTGTGGGTGTCAGGTGTCATCTCAGTCCTTACCATAATTCACACCTCTATATATACCTCAGTATTTTGGTTGTGTTTGTCTCCCAATAAGGAATGGTGAAATGGTGCTTTTGTCTTTCAGTACAATAATATTCTCTTTATTTCCATGAATGGTGACACAAGTGACCTCATTTATGGATGTTATTGCTGTATATATGTATCTGCAAATGTCTGGTTTATTTCAATATATTTACTTGTATTTCTGTTCATTAATGTTGGAACCTTATTTTAACAGATACACAAGAACATTCCATCACCATAAACACAAGCAGAGTCATGAGGCTTATGAGAGATCATTGGTCAATAATGGCTGTTAGAAAATAGGGCACCAGTTTTCTCGGTAGTACAGTTAGCAGGATGTATACTATAGCTTGGTGTAGCTAAATGGCATGTTGACACCAATCCCACCCACACTCAGTCATGAAGTGCTAATTAAATTCAATGAGTCACAGGAAAAAATACACAGAGATAGACACAGTGAAGAAGTCTTTCACAAGAAAGGGACAGGATGACAAAAGAAGGGGAGTGAGAGTGAATGCGACTATAATTAATTACATGAATTTATAAAACTGCAGAGAAAAAATAGGAACCTGAAGAAAAAGTGTTATTTATTGGCAGAGAAAAAGTGCAGATCGTCTCTGGTTATGAGGTAAACATCTATATATAATGAGCCATGTCACATGTGAATTCATTTTTGAATTATATTTATATACACTCAGTTGATAAGTTATTTTTATGAGAAATAATTCACTAATACTTTTGATCAACTTCCAAGATTTACACATATGTGACTGCATTTAAATATTAATATCTCTTATATTCTATGAGACCAAAACTTCTGTTAGAGGACACAGCCTGAGATTTTAAAAAATCAGATTACTTAAGATTATGAGAGGAGTTTTAGTTTTATCAGATACTATTTCTGAAGATTTGAATGGTTAAAAAATTACTACATTGTATTGAAAAGTACTCTATCCAAACTTCCAGTCTTTCCGATATACTTTTGTTACAGAGCAGTATCACAGTTTTCCCTTTGCATTAATTTATTATGGAAAAATCATATCAGTGGGGGGTGGTCACCATGACGATATTGCCAAGATACAATATTCTATAGGGTTAAACACAATTCATATCAATTTATAATGTTATGATTTTAAAAATTAGGTTTAAAACAGATAGGACCACAAGGAGGAGGAAGAGGAAGAGACACTAGGAATCATTATTTCTGAGCGATACCCCATGATTATCCTGTCTATCATCTCTCAGTCCCAGGGTAGCTTCCTGCTCCTCCAGGGTTTCTGATACATTCAGGATATGGTTGGAACACTGTGTCTCTTGCACAGTAATAGACGGCAGAGTCCTCAGATGTCAGGCTGCTGATCTCCATGTAGGCTGTGCTGGAGGATGTGTCTGCAGTCAATGTGGCTTGGCCCTGGAACTTCTGATTGTAGTCAGTATCATCGTCTTCAGGATCAATATCTCCAATCCACTACAGGCCCTTTCTAGGCTTCTGCTTTACCGAGATAAAAGTAGTCGGTGAAGATAATGCCAGAAATCTCGCATGACAGTGTCACTGAGGCTCCAGGCCTCACCAGCTGAGGACCAGACTGCTGCAGTTGGACATGAGAGTGGAGACCTGTCAATAGAAAGGCAGAGAGTGTATCTTTGACTCCTCAGTCCCTGCTCCTTCTTCAGGTTTGGAACTGGAAAGACCCTTACCAGTATCTACTAATAAGAGGAAGACGATGATCCAGGTCCATCCCATGTTGAGGATCTGTGTGTTCAATGACTTTGGAGTGGACACTGATAATATGTTTTTTGTTGTGGTCATCTCTGTATTTACCACCATAGGCTCAAGTAATTTGCATATTCATGAGCAGGGTACTTCTTAGATAAGAATCTGGAGAAGAAGGTAGGAGATACCTGGGTCAGGCAGCAGGATGCTGAGAGCCAAGTCGCAATCCTCTCTAAGAATATGCATAGCATCATTCTTCGCTGGGCTCTCTGTAGATGATGAGGATGTAACATCAGGACCTGAAGTCTCCATAGATTTCAGTGGCTCCAATATGTGACAAGATTATCAGATTGATTTGCAGATGATCATGACAATGATAGGAAATTTAAAACCTTCTGACTTTGAAACTTGTAACTTCCTTTCAGATATTTGCAATTAATGTGTGACTTTCCATGAGATTATGTACTAAAAAACTCTCCCAAATGAACCAAAGCAAATAAACTTCAGAAATATTTGCAAAATAATGATTATTGAAGCAAAATCACAATAACTAAATTATGGAAACTGTATATTGGTCAACAGAGCTTCTTATCAAGAGGACATGTTTATATAAACAAAACTACAGAAGGTTTTCATCTACAAGAAATATGGAACTTAACATCATTTATAGAAAAATAGATGCAGCTAGAGATAAATATATTAATACCTTATCAGAAATCAGACAATGAATGAGACTAATGTCAGAATCCTTTAGATATTCCATGCTTACATGCAACTATGAATAGAAATGTATAATGCAGTCTAAGTGAAACTGTCTTATAGAAGAAGGGTAAAGTGGGAGGGGAAAGAAAATGAAGGGTAGAGATTATGGGGGAAGACAACATAGTGTACGAAATACATGTTCATGAAATTTTCACATTTCATATTTTTTGAAATATAGTTCCATGTATAAAATATAGCCTGATTATGTCTATATCCACTATGCCCAACTGGTTCCTCTTGGGACCTTCCAATAAGTAGCTGTACCTTTTCATGACCTCCTTTATTTCATTAACTAGTAACACAATGAATCCAATCTGTTCTATCTATTTACATATATATGGAGTATTTCACTAGTATACTAGAAAACTTAAAAGAAAACTGGTTCTAGAAAAAAATGTGAATTCTATAAGAGAAATCACCAGGAGTCTCCATAGAAAGCTTAAATTCTGCAAAGCTGACATTGGAGCTGGCTCTTAACTAGTAATGAAATGTTCTGTGAGTAAATCTGAACACCAGGACAGGTGAAGTACATACACTTTTGACATCATAGCAGACTGAAAGATGTTCATCCTTTAAACAAGAGGAAGTTATGTGATGAAGCTTGTACAGTCTGAGTTCCAGAGTGCTGTGAGAAGATCTAGGCAAGCCTTGCATCACGATATGATATGGAACATTGTCAGAACTCACATGTGAAGGACAGTGGAGTGGTGCAGACATGAGGATATCTCCTCATTATTTTAGGGATACTGAGTGTGAATGGAGACTCTCTGAATTTAGTGTACTTTCTTCTAAACTCTTTCCCAGGTCACAAAATTTATATACAAGACTTGGTATTACCAATTTGACTGAAAACCTTTCATTTTAGAAAAAAATATTCACAGAATCATGAGAGATAAAATCCTAAATGCAGTGTGTCACACCTTGGGACCTGGACTCCCAAAGCAGAGGTTCATGGACTCTACACTGCCTGGAACATCAAGGCCTGAGATCCCAGGTAACAGTTTACTATTCCAGCTGAGAAAAACCCTCCCCCAGGGGACAGAAGCTACAGATAGAATTACAGAGGCTGATGCTGAAGGTTGTGATGAAGAAAACTGGATATCTGACATCTCATGTGTGAAAATGTGAGGCCTTCTCGCATGTATATCTAATTGTTCTGTCAATAAGGTTCCCACGTAATGAATAAAACGTGCACAGGCAATATTAATTAACAAAGAATTTTTACTCAACTAAACTTGGGGTCTTGTCACAGTAGCTACATCATGTGTATTACATGGTCTCTGCAGTTATTTGAGGTTAGGACAGGAAACTTCAGTGTCTCAGAGGACTCCCTCACTCTCCAGATGTTTCTTTTACCTACTACGTTTTTGTCTTTCCTGGTGAAAGATATGTATGTCTACAGCTCCCCATGCTGGTCCTGAGGATCCTCACATAAAGGTTGATACTTTTTTTATCATTTTTTATTTTAATTTTAAATAGCTTGTTTCACATGTCAATCCCAGTTCCCTCTCCCTCCCCTCCTCCCGCACTCTCTTTCCCCCCTCCCTCCCACCCTATTGCCAAATCCTTCCACATAGGGGATATCTAGAGTCTGTCATTTTACTCTTGGTAGGGTCAAGGCACTCCCCTAAGAGTCCAGGCTGAGAGAGCATCTCTCTTTGTGCTATAGGCACATGAAGACAGTTTGTATTCCAGGGTAGACACTGATCCACAGCTCAGGGCCCCATAGGTTGCCCAGGCCTTCTCACTGACACTCACATTTGGGGGGTCCAGATCAGTCCCATGCTGGCCTCCCCACTGTCGGTCTGGGGTCCAAGAGCACTCCCCTGTTCAGATCAGCTGTCTCTGCTGGTTTTGCCAGCCCATTCTTTGCCAATTTGCTCATCACTCCTCTCTCTCTGTCACTGGGTTCCTTGGGTTCAGTTCAGTGATTAATTGTGTGTTTGCCTCTGCTTCCATCAGTCACAGGATGAAGGCTCCCGGATGGTTATAGACATCAAGTTCATTATCAGGAATGGGCATTCGAGGTGGTCCCTCCACTATTGCTTAGCTTGCCAATTGGTGTTATACCTTTAGATCACTCGAGGTCACTCTGGTGCCTGATCTGTCTTTGATCCTATGATTCCCTCTTCCCCCTATTCTACCCCCACCCCCTCAACTTCCTGTTCCCCCATGATGGTCATGGGGAAAAGGTTGATTCTGACCACACTGGGAACGTGCTCTCAATGTCTGTTGCAGTGTAATGCAAGCCTGTGTCTTCAGTGGTAGCAGAGCTGTGGTAGCACTTGTGTGGGTAACAGCTGTCATTTCTGTCCTTACCATAATCCATGCCATATTTTTGCTGAGTTTGTGTCCCAATAAGTAATGATGAAATGGTGCTTTAGCGTTTAAGTACAATATTATTGTCTCTATTGCCATGAATGGTGACACAAGTGACCTTTTTATGGATGCTACAACTGTATATATTTGTCTGCAAACTTCAGGTTCATTTCAATATATTTACTTTTATTTCTGTTAATTAACATTATAAACTTATTTTAACCAATACACAGGAATATTCCATTATTATAAAAAGAGGTAGAGCCATGACGCTTCTGAAAAATCATTGGCAAATAAAGGCTGTTGGGAAATATGGCACCAGTTTTCTCAGTGGTACACTTCACAGGATGTATACTATAGCTTGGTACAGCAGAGGGGTGTATTGACAGCAATCCCACCCACACTCAGTTATGAAGTGCTAATTAAATTCTATGGGTCACAGATAAAAGGAGACACAGAGCTAGAATCACAGAGGAAAAGAATGTCTTTCACAAGAGAGGGTCGGGATGACAAATGAAGGAGAGTCAGAGTGACGGTGACTAAAGTTAATTACATGAATTTATAAAAATGCAAAGTAAAACTTAGGAAATTGAAGAAAAAGAGTTATTTTTTGGCAGAGAAGTGCAGATCATTTCTGGATATGAGGTGAATGTCCTTATAGAATGAGCCATGTCATATGTGAAGTTATTTATTTATATATATATATATATATGTATATATATATATACACACACACAGGGTTGATAGGTGAGTTTTATAAAAATAATTGAATAATATGTGTACCAACTTGTAATATTTATACGTATGTGATGGTGCATTTTGATATGAATATCTCTTAAATTTTATGAGACTGGAACTTCTAGAGGACACAGTATGAGATTAAAAACACACAATCATATCACTTAGGACTGTTAAAGGAGTTTTACTTTCATTTGATATTACTTCTGAATATTTGAATGTTAAAAATCCTACTATATTGTATTCAAAGCTACTGTATCCACACTTCCAGTCTTTCAGAATCCATATGTACTTTTATGATGGGGCAGTATGACAGTTTTCCAATGTGCATTGCTTTATTAAGGGAAAAACATGTCAATGTGGGTGGTCACTGTGGAGATATTATCAAGATACAATGCATTATAGGATTAAACACAATTCACATCACTTCATTCAAAGTTATTATCATGAAAGTTAGAATTAAAAGAGATAGGGACACAAGGATGAGGAAGACAAAGAGACACTAGGAATGGTTATTTCTGAGTAAGTCCCCAGGCTGATCCTCTCTATCATCTCGGTTCCAGGACAGCTTCCTGCTCCTCCAACGTTTTTCACACACTCAGCCTGTTGTTGCAACACTGTGTCTCTTGAACAATAATAGACTGCATTGTCCTCAGATGTCAGGCTGCTGAGCTCCATGTAGGCTGTGCTGAAGGATTTGTCTGCAGTCAGTGTGGCCTTGCACTGGAACTTTTGATTGTAGCTAGTACCACTATTTCCAGGATAAGGATAAATACTTCCAATCCACTCCAGGCCCTGCCCAGGCTTCTGTTTCACCCAGTCCATATTATAGCTAGTGAAGTTGTAGCCTGATGTCTTGCAGGACAACTTCACTGAGACTCCAGGCTTCATCAACTCAGCCAGAGACTGCTGTAGCTGGACCTGGGAGTGAACACCTGTGGAGAGAAAGACAGATTGAAAATCACTGTCCCCTGAGTGCATGGTCCCTTCTCATGTCTGGATCATGGAGCACTTACTTGTAGCTGTTGCTACCAGGAAGAAGATGATCCAGCTCCCTCCCATGGTGAGGACCTGAGTGTTCAGTGACTGTGGAGAGGACACTGATCATATGTTGTAGGAGGTGTAGACATCCCTGCTTTTACCACCAAAATCTCACATGATTTGCATATTCATAAGCAGTGTACTTCTTAGATAAGGACCTATTGCAGCTGAAGCAGAAGGAAGTAGAGGAAACCTCTGTCAGGCAGCTGTATTCTGAGGTCCAAATCATCATCCTGTTTGAGAAAGCAGCCATAACTGAAAGTTGTGCAGACCTTGTGGATATGGCATGAGCCTAGTCTCTCAATTTACAAATAGAATCTCAACCTAAGAAATTAGTTCATTTCCCTGACAAATTCACAGGTGTTAGGAGTTATGAGGAAAACTGTGAAGTGAAATTTCAAAAACTCCTAAATTGGGAAAATTTTCACTGTCATTTCATATATATGATATTCATATTTTCTTTTTCAGCATGTTGCAGGTGTGTGTTCTTGGAGGCTCTTTCCTTTTCTAAATCCTTTTTTACTTCTATATTCATTTGCGTTCAGTTAAGAAAAAGTAAGGCTATGGTGTTCTGGTAGGAATATGGAAAATATCTGAGAGGAATTGGGCATAGAATCTCATCAGAATACTTTTCATGAAAACATGTTTTACAAAAATTCAGACTTAATAAATATTTTAAAAACAATAAAATTAGTCTATGCACTATTTATCAATGATTTTTTTCTTTTTGTGGAAATTTTAGACTTTGCACATCAAGCATAGCAGGTATTGTTCAGCTAATAGACTTTCAGAAGGGAGTACAGAAAAGCTTTGGAATTCCCTCCAATCCTAATCTGATTTGCATTCTCATGATTACTGGTTTCATTTTGCCCCTTTCTGTCCTTACATTTATTTACTGTTATCAGAATGTTAGCAATAAACTTGTCACACCTTTAGTCTTGCTGTGTCTCCTTCATCATTGCCTGTTTAAAATTCAGTTATCACCAACCATAAGCCCTGGCTTGGTGGGTAAGAGTGGGAGCTTACAAGGTTTGTATTAACCACTCATATGGTTGCTGAAGAATTATTTGTCCAAATCAAAGCAGAAACAGGTCATTTTCCCATTCATTAAGTATTGCTTATTTATTTATGTTTTCTTCTTCAGTAAACATGGGAGATATTGAGAAGTTAATCCACACATTCTTGGTGTTCCGAGTGTGCTCAACCTGAAGGATCACTGTGGTCATCATATGTCACTGGCAAACATGTTAGCTCACTTCAACTTTGTGTTAGGGAACAGACAGTCGATCCCTAGGTTTTCACCTTCACACTGTGATGTTCATTGACCGGTGTCTTCAGCTTTTTTGGCCTTTCCCCAATTTATTCCTTTGAATTTTATAAAATTTATTTTTTATATTCCAATCTCAGTTCCCCCCACACTATCTATAATCTGCCCCTTGTAGAGTGCAAGACCTTACCTAGAAAGTATTATAAGCCTGTCCTTTCATCTCAATGAGGCAGGACCAAGGTGCCTCCCACCACCCTGCACCCCTGTGTCTAGGCTGGGCAAGGCATCTCTTCATATAGAATGGGCTCCACTAAGTCAGTTTGTGCTTTAGAGTTGGATCTTCAACCCACTGTAGGTGGCCTGTTATACTTCCCCAGCCATAACATCATCACCTGTATTAAGGGAATTTTAATCGGTCTTGTGCTGGCTCTCCACTTGTCATAGCAGATCAGTGATCTCCCACAAGCTCAGCTCCAGTAGATGTTCCCATCTCCCATCATTGTCTTGACTCCTTTGTTTAAATAATCATTCATCCCTCACTTTGTTTGTACTCCAGCACCATGGCCAAATGAATAGTTGTTGAATTCTACATCTGTTTCTGGAAGAGGGCTCTGGCTTCTCTGGGGATGTGATTATAGGTGGAATATAATTTTCTTTATGTCTAATATCCACTTATGAGTGTGCACATACCATATTTGGTTTTGGGGGGATAGTGTCTGGGTTACCTCACTCAGGATGTTTTCCCCTAGTTCTGTCCATTTGCCTGCCAATTTTAGAATGTCATCATTTTATAGCACTGAGAAGTACTACATTGTTTAAATGTACCACATTTTCTTTATCCATTCTTCCATTAAGGGTCATCAAGTTTGTTTCTGAGTTCTGGGTTTTATGAATAATTCTCTTATGAACATAGTCCCTGCTCCTGTATTTTAATGTCTCAGTTGAAATCTTAGATTCTTTTCAAACTTGGCTTCCTGGGTTAATGGTTTATGATTAGGAAGCCCAAGATTCTCAAGTTTTTCTTCCCTTTTCCCTCTATATGATAAGATTCTGATTTTCCCAGAAAGGTAGCATGCTGTCATATTGTTGTAGCACAGAATCCACAACCACTTCTTGCTCCATACATGCTGTGGAATGTAAAGGAAACACATGCTGGTAGAAGCAGCTGCACAACTCACCCCTCTGCCTTCACCAACTCCCAAATCCTCTCCATCCATATTCACCACCTTGTTGTGTGTTTTAAAACAAACAGACTTCTAATGAATAAAAGCAAATAAATTAAAATGAGAGCAAAGAAAATCTAACAGCTTAGGACAGGACAAACCAAACAAACCAAAACTGGAAGGAAAAGAGTCCAAAAAAATGCCAAAGAAACAGGTATGAATGCAGAGACCACCTGATTTACATGCTCAGGAATCCCATAACAAAACAAAATTAGAAGCTGTTCAGTATAGGCAAAGTAACTGTGTAGGAGTGAACCCCACAAAGCTATCTGCCCATGAGGGCGGGTACAAGTTAATTAGCACAGGTAGAGATAAAAGGACCTCCTCTTTTGGAAGCCAGCCATGCTTCTAACTCCTAGCTTGTGTGACTTTCTCTCTCTGGTAAATAAATATATTGTATCCCCTATAGCATCGGCTATCATCATTATCTGGTGTCAGCTGAGTGGATTGGAAGCCCATGCCTCTGTGGCTGGTGGCCACCTGGCTCAGGCCCCCGAGGTGAGTGAAACCCTCCCCACCCTCCCCTGCATGCCCAAGTGCCCACCAGAATAAAAGAACATTAGCCATCTGCGGTTGTGTGCCAAGACCGCGCAGTGCAGCCATCGATAACTAAGGTGAGTGCTCATCAGCATTCCAGCCACCTCAAGGGCTGCTGCTCCTCCAGATCCAGGCTGTCATTCCACTTGTGGCTGCACACAGCGTGCATGCTCCCAGAGCATGCCCACATTTCTCCCCCTCCCTCCTTGCTGGCTCCCACCATAGCCCGCAGTTTCCACCACTCCTGAACTCCATTCAAATCCCATTCTCCCAGAAACACAGCCATTTCATCTGCGAGATCGGGACCGCGCTATCTCAGCTCACCGTGTGCTGGTTTGTCTACCACCCATCTTCGGCTGCCGCTTTGTATCCTGGGGGCGATGCCCTCGCCACCCGTGGCATCCTCGCAGTCCGCAGCACCATCGCTGCCATCATAGACACAGACCATTGTGCTCACCTGCGTGCACTTTCAGCCATCAGCGACCCAAAAAACTATGTTTACCAACTTCTCCCTTCCACAGGCTTAGCAGCTAATAAAGCCACCAAAGCACCTTGTCCCCAAATTCTCCCAATCCCTCTTTGCCCCAAAATCTGTTCGCTGAGTTTTCACAGGTTCCTTGGGAAACATCAGATTTTCCAGAGAGAAACCTTGTTTGGTGGTGCACCTCTGCCATCCGTTGGCCAAGCGCAGTACCTATAGGTATTTTAATCTATGACAAAACAAGAGGTGATTTTTCCAATTTGGGAATTGCTAATTGGTGGTAATAACATTTAATTATAACATGGCAGGTAATTTAACACTGCAGGATTCTAGAGATATCGTTACCAAAGTAATGGATTATGCAGTAAAAGACAATTATGGTATTTTTCATATGAATATGTGTACCATGCTCATGATTAGTTTGTTAATACATGTAATCACATGGAAGAAACGTGTACAAATTATTCAAAAATTAGAGTCAAAATTTCAGGAACAAGGAGATTTAGTTACCAAAAGGGATAATTTGGAATTTAATCAGAACAACCACCGAGACACATTTAATTCAATGTCTTTTGCATTTATGGCTAACATGGAGTCTAACCAGGGGGAACTTTCCAAATTAGCAGGATCAATTAAAAAATTAGAGTCAAAAATTCAGGAAAAAGGAGATTTACTTACCAAAACAGATAATTTGGAATTTAATCAGAACAACCCTCGAGACACATTTAATTCAATATCCACTACATTCATGGTTAAGATGGAGTCTAGCCAGGGGAAATTTTCCAAATTATCAGGATCAATTCAATCTGTGTCTGACAATAATGACCATCTAGCAGACCGAATATGTTTTCTGGAAGGAAAAATACATGCCTTTGGAGTTTTTAGGGAGGATGGTATGAAAAGCTTGGAATCACGCTTAATTGAACAGTTCAAGGAATTGGAACAAATTTTTTCCTCCCCTCCTCCCGTGCCCTCCCCCCAACCCCCCATTATCCCCTCATTTTCCCAGGGAGGGTGAGGCCCTCCATGGGGGTGTCCATAGTCTGTCATTTCATATAGGGCAGGGCCTAGGCCCTTCCCAAGAGTTCAGGGTGAGGGTGCACCTCACATTGTTGGATGGGAGTCCAAAGTCCGTGTGTATACTCTGGATGGGTACTGATCTGCTGCCAAAGGCTCAATAGATTACTTAGGCCTCCTCACTGACACTAACATTCAGGGGGTCTTGATCAGTCCCATGCTGGATTCCCAGGCTGATGCCTGTGATTCAAGAGTTAACCTTTGTCAGGTCAGCTGTTTCTGGGGGGTAAACCAGCCCAGTCTTAATCCCTTTGTTCATCAGTCCTCCCTCTGTGTTACTGGCTTTCTTGAGTTCAGCTCAGTACTTAACCAAGGGAGTCTGCCTCTTCTTCGATCAGCCACTAAATGAAGTTTCTGTTTCCCAGACTCTCTGGCCATAAGATTGTAGGCTGGCACTCACCAGATCTATGTCTAAAATCCATATTTGAGAGAGTACATGCCATGTTTCTCTTTTTGTGACTGGGTTACCTCACTCAGGATGGTTTCTTCTAGTGTCATCAATTTGCCTGCGAATCTCAGGATTCCATTGTTTTTTTTTTCTGCAGAATAGTACTCCATTGTGTAAATGTACCACATTTTCTCTATCCACTCTTTGGTTGAGGGACATCTAGGTTGCTTCCAAGTTCTGGCAATTACAAATAATGCTGCTGTGAACATAGTGGAATAGACATATTTGGTGTATGAATGGGCATCTTTTGGATATATGCCTAAAAGTGGAGTTGCTGGGTCTTGTGGTAGGTTTATTCCCATTTTTCTGAGGAATCTCCATACTGATTTCCAAAGTGGCTGAACCAGTTGGCACTCCCACCAGCAA